GGAGTAAGGACATCAGGGGACCAGCACAAAGCTTCGTACGAAAGCCCAGTGATACCTGTGATGCTCCTTTTTAAGAGGGAAACATGGAAAAGGAGGCTAATGATGCCGAGCACTGAATGTTTCTGTGAAGGGAAACTCCTCCTCCCAGAGTCCTGTGAGGACTCAGGGACAGTGGGGGCCCCTGACGGCAGGCTGGCTTCCTTCAAGGGATGACAGCAGATTCACTGGGGAGGGTGTAAGGGGCCCAGGGAAGGATATAGAAATCCAGTGGTTGATTCCAGAAAGGAAGCCACCTTTACAAGAAGGTGCAGGGAGCCCATAATGGGGATGGGGCGGGTGGTAAACAGAATTTGTGAGCTTCCCAGGCCACTGGTCAGGTAACAGATCCACAATCTGAGATGGGCTGTCTGGCCAGTTCCCAGGAGGTCAGGGCACAACCTAGTTTGATGTATCTGTCAAACAGTTCCTTCCTCAAGACCCAGCCCCCTCTTCTTGTATTTCCACTCCAAACCCAAGCATGCCCTGATGCAGAGACTGTGTGAAAACTTGTTCTTTGAAAGCTTAGCACATTCTCCCAGAAGCATAACATTGTATCAAATGCTTACGGTCCTTAGTTAGGTATCAACAACCCAGCAGAGCCTGCCAGCCCCACGCACCCACGTCAGACTCTGAGACCTTTCTATGAAATGCTTCCAGACCTTAGTCAGACATCAACAGCCCAGCAGAGCCCGCCAGCCCCACGCGCGCACGTCATACTCTGAGACCTTTCCTAGTGGCCATCACGTGGTAGTGTGAATGAGGATGCCCTCCAGAGGCTCAGGCGTTTGACCAATTGGTCCCCAGTCACTGGAGCTCTTGGAGGCCATTCAGGAGATGTGGCCCTGCTGAAGGAAGTGTGTCGCTAGAGGGGACTTCGGTAGTTCAGATCGTCACAGCACTTGCATTTCACCTTGTTTTCTGTTTGCGGCTGGGGATGTGAGCTCTTAGCTTCCTGCTCTGGCCAATCATGCCCGCCACTTGCTGCCATGCATCATGGACTCTTCTTATCCCTCTGGAACCATAAGCTAAAACTAACTCTCTTCATTAAGTGACTCGGTCATGGTGTTTTAACACAGGGACAGAAAACAGATTTAAAAAAAAAAAAAAAAAAAAAAAACACCACTGCTGGAAAGCTGGAGGCCCGAGATCCCAAATTCCATGCCACCACAGCCTATCACATTGATCCCCAAACCCATGATGCTACCATAGCCTACCACATTGATCCCAAAGCCTATGATGCTACCACAGTCTACCACATTGATCTACACCGTAGATGGAGGCCATATTTTCTTCGTTTTCTGCAGACTTCTGAGCCCGATTTCCACATGTACCCCATGAGATCTTGGACTATGCCTGCCCTCCTCAGGTAGGAGTAGACCATATATACCGGTCCTATGGCTGTGAGAGCTGCATCTATGGTCCATATGATGCTCAAAGCCTGCACATGACCAAGGCTTAACCGACATTAGTCCTGTCTCCTCCCATTCCAGCATCCGACATAGAGTGCCCAATCAAACACCGGCTGACACATGACTTCAGGCCAACAGGAAGCTGACTCTAGAAAGCAGACTCTTCCCTAACGCCGCATCCAGCTTAAAAACTCACATTCGAGGGCAGTGGTTCTCAACCTTCCTCATGCTGCGACCCTTTAATACAGCTCCTCACGTGGTGCTGACCCCCAACCATAAAATTATTTCATTGCTACTTCATAACTGTCATTTTGCTGCTGTGATGAATCACAGTGTGGATATCCGGTTGCAACCCCTGTGAAACAGTCATTCGACCCCCCCCCAAGGGGTCGAGACCCACAGGCTGAGAAGTGCTCTAGAGGAATCCTTCCCCAGTTCTGCTGAGCGAGGAGGTCCTTTCATCTTCCCTAGCTTACTCTCACCCTGCAGCCTTGGAGAACAGCCACCCTTCAGGGAGTGAAAAACACACCCTTTCCTTGTAAAAAGTCCATGCAAACGGTTGCATCTGTAGTAGGTTACTCTATAGCATCAATTCTTCTAGAAAATACTACTGCAGCTTTGCTACTGGACCTAGGAGAACATCTGGGTCAACACGTTGGGGCTCTCCCGCGGGAACCAGGGCCATCTAGGCAAGCAGACACTCGCCAAGGTCAGACGGTGGGGTGGAAACACCGAGGGGAACCAATGCCCTGCAGACATGTGAGCAGTGGCTTCAATTAATTTCTCCAGCTAATTAAGAAAAAGTGTCCATCTGCATTTGGGAAACAAAAGACAGAGACTAGCCTCAAATAACTTCTCCAGCCTAGAAGGAATGAAGGGCACCTTCCACCAAGACCCAGGAGAGATGTCGCAGTCCGCCTTCCTAAGAAGCCTTCCACACACCTCTCAACCAGCCTCAATATGGAAACACATACCCCCGGAGGGGGGGGGCGACTAATGGTGCTTCTAGGTTAGATGAGCATCTCCCAAACAGCTCAAGATCATAGGCTCCCAGGAGAACAAACACACCCCCGTCCTATTCCAATAAGAGAAGAGGGACAGGATGATAGATGCTCAGAAGAACTAACTCCAGGCCAGATCCACCACAGCCCCATGCAGCCAGGGCACCCGGTTGCTCCTCTCCAGCCACAGTGCCCTCAGAGTCACAGGAGGACTGAGGACCCATCTCTATCTGTAACCCTTAGTGGCTCGGGACAGGTTCCTGCCAGCTCTCTCTGCCACTATAGAAAGAGGCCTTCCGGAGGAGATATTTGAACAAAAGGAGGCAGCAAGGCCAAGTGAGGAACCACAGTGGAAAAAACAGCCTTCTCAGGCGGGCAACGTGGCTCCTGGCGTGGGGCCCTACCACCGCTTGCGAGCAGAACGGCACGTTAGCCCTGAACACCGCAGCTTCTGTACCACGGTGTGTGATTTCTTTTCCAAGTCCCAAGCCACAATAAGGCCCCAGGAGAAGCCACGTCGTCTAGGAACAGACTGGAAAACGGGCATTGCAAGCTTGCAAACCGGAGTTCTGAGAGATGCTTGTAAAGTACATGCACAGGACTGTCCAGGGCTTCCATTCGATTGTGACCTGTGGACTCCTGCTTCATGCCTCTGAGTTCATCCTTCAGCAGTTCCCCTCGATGGGGGTGGGGGTGGGGGTATCAACATGAGAAATGGAACATCTTTAGGATCATGAACGCCAGGGGCTGTTCAAGTATTTGCCTAGCATTTACAATTCACAAGGCCCTGGGCTTGAACCTCCATACTACATAAACTGAGTATAGCCATCCATTCCATTAACTCCAGTACTCCAGGGGTGCTAACTGGAGCTCAGGACATCTTCAGCTACATAGGGCCAGCCTGAGCTGGAGAGCCTACAAAAACTCACTAGCAAAAACTAAAGAAGAGCCTTTATATCAAAATGTTTACTCCAGAATTCAAATTGTGTGGGGTCTGGGAAATTTCCCTCCTATTCTCGCTGAGTTACGGGCACCCATTTTCCCAGGAGGCTCACATGGAACCCTGGCAAGTGAAGTAGGTATGTGGGGGAAAGGCTGGTATTTGGCTCTGGAGGCCACAAGGGGCACCCGGCCCCGGGCCTCCCTCTTCAACACGGCTATAGCCATCCGGACGCCAAGTGAGTACTGTCTGCTGGTCTCCTGAAAGACCACCCACGGTTCCCACTCCACAGAGGCAAGTCCAGAGTCTGGGCCTGCAATTCAAACCCCCTCCAGACATACTTCCTGAGCAGTCTTTCAAATGTAATAAAAGCAAAACTGTGGAAGAAACTGGGGCGGGGGGGCCGCGGAAACAGACCTCTGGTATCACTGACAAGGCATAAGGAGCAAGTTTTGGGGCTCTGAGGGAGCCAAGGGGGCAGCCCCCGTAGGAAAGGTCCTTCACACTCTACATTCCTTTGCTGGGGCCTTTTCCCGCCACCCTGGCTATGCCTCACGGGTCATCTGACCCCACATCCGTCCCTCCTTTAGAAAGGCTCTGCCCTCTCACCCCAGGGCGCTGCGACCACCTTGCCTTCCATCTGGCATTGTATTTCTACACATCTCTTAGCAGTTTAAACTCTCACCCTCGCCAGCGTCATTGAGAAGGAGCTGCCTCCCAGGCACCGACTCCTGGAAGGTACTTCCTTCCTAAAACTGTCCTAAGCAAGATGGGACTGTCCTTCCATCCTAGGTCACAGGCACCCTGGGAAGGGTTTCCAGGGCCTTGACTCATCGGTACCCGGCCTGTGACCCCGCACCACCACACAGGCTGCAGATAACTGTTCCAAAAAAAAAAAAAAAAAAAAAAAAAGCATCCTTTTAAATGTCCTCTGAAAAAGAGACCAAACAAGAGCTAGAGCAAACTTTAGGAACGACCACCAGGGACCCGCTTAAGGTGAAGAAGTCGCCTCTTCCCGCCCAGCGGCCGGGAAGCCTCCTGTTAGCATGAGCGATTAGATCTCTGGGCTCCACAGATGGTGTAGAAAACCGGGAGCGCTGCGGAGCGCGGGATGCGCGAGACCTGAGGGGACTTTCTAGAGCGGGCGGGGCGCAAGGGACACAGACACTCCTGGGCCAGAGGCCAGCAGAGGACGATGACCACGGCCAGGCGCAGCTGAGCACTGCGGGGTACTCGCCACTGCCGCCGCCAGCTCGAACGGACCCGACCTTCCCCACGCCCTCAACCCTGTCCACGACCAGGTCGCGGCGGGAGTCCACCCAAGGCCTGCAGACGGCCGCCCACCCGGGCCACTCCAGCCCAGGGCACCATGCGCCTGCGGCTGGAGACTGCCCCGCGGCGCACAATCCCCAAGTGCAAGCGGCCAGGGGGACGCGGGCGCCACCCGAGCGGACACTGGGAGCAGAGCCCTCCAACCTCCGCTCCGGAGCCCGAGGGTCACCGCCTGGCAGCAGGGGTTGGGGAGGGACCGATTATCAGCCCCCGCACAGCCCCGTCCCGCGCGGCCCGCTCGGGCGATGCCGACACAAAGGGGACGCGCGCGTCACCCACCTGGTCCCGCGCGGTCCGGGCTCCCGCTCGGCCTCGTTGCGCGCGGCTGCGATG